AGAGATTCAGATGCACAGACATGCATATATCTCCATTTTCACTCTCCATTTCCTATCCCCCCCCCCTTAGCTCTCCAAAAGGGATCGAAGGAAGAGATATATGCATGATATGTCTATTTTTTCTTCAGTCTCTTTTGAAGAGCTAAGGGAAGTAAAAAAAAATACGAAACGGAGAGTGAAAATGAATCCATGCCATGTTCATAAGTGAAAACTAGCAGACATTCAAAAATAATTGCATAAGCTTAAAGGGTGCATGAGGGAGCTCTGGTGGCCTAATGGTAAGAAGCCGTGCTGCAACCCCAAAGGCACGTGGTTCGAATCCACTAGCTGCTCTGCAGGAGAAAGATGGGCATTCTCTTCCCATGCAATTTACATCCTCAGAAAACCCACTGGAAGGTTAGCTAAGAGTCAGCTCTGGCTCAACAGCAACAACAATGGGCACCTTGTTGAAGCCCTGGTGTCACAGTGGTTAAGCACTCAACTGCTACCTGCTAGGTTGGCAGTTCAAATCCACAGGAGAAAGATGTGGCAGTCTGCTTCCATGAAGTCTTGGAAACCCTGTGGGGCCATTCTACCGTGTCATGCAGGGTCGCTATGAGTCAGAATCAGGTTTTAGTGGAGGGATACAGCCCCCACCCTCACTCCTGATTCTTCAAGAGTTTTCTGAGGATCTCTCCAACCAAGAAAACCTTTGATACCATTAACCTTCTGAACAGTGTTTGGCTCTGAGGGATCAAAGGCAGAAAGAACTGTATTTTTAGATTGTTCTCTGGGGCTCCAGAGATGCACAGCACCTGGCTGTCTCCTCTGAACACAGCTCTCAGAATCTCAGATTCTGTGATTCTTTATATAAATGTGATTTCCCCCTGCTCTCCTGGAGAGGTGGGGAGGGGGGAATCTTTAAAAAAGGCTTTGCCTTGGGCCAGGTTCCCCTCTGAGCCTGTGCATTGAACTCCTGCTGACCCAGCCCAGGTAATGAACCTCTTCTACTCTTAAATGGCAGATGTCCCTCAGGAGGGACCACAGATCCAAGAGGGATATGGAAACGTGTTGCTGAAGCTAGGCTGTCCTAGTTAGAAAGAAGAGGCCAGGCAGGCTGGGAAAGACGGGAGCTGCCCCAGGGAGCCCAGGTCGTGGGGCCAACAGAGGGTTAACTCGTTGAAGAAGCCCTGGCAGAACTTGGAAGCCACAAGAGGGTGCTATGCCTGGAGACTCAGGAGCTCGGGTATGTGTGTGCATGTACGGAGAGATGTTGTTGTGTACACTGAGTTGGAACAGACCCGTATCTGACTCTTCAGTGGGTTTTTGGAGCCAGTAAATCACACAGGAGGAGATTGCCTATCCTTCTCCCACAGAGAATCTGCTGGATTTCATCTGCATGCCTTTGAGATTTCAGCACAGCTTCTTACCACTAGGCCACCAGAGCTCCCTGTGTGGAGGGTGTCAGGGTGTATATCTTTATGAAATTTTGTCTAAACACTTTGATTCTCAAGCCACAGCCTTGGAGGAAATACTGCTGTGAGGTCAGCCCCTCCCCTTGGCCACATCATGCACAACAGAAGGAAGCCGGCCCGGCCCTGTGCCATCCCCATGATGGATTGTGGCTCAGTGGGTTATTGTGATCGGAGTTTTTGTTGGCTGATATTCAGAAATAGATTGCCAGGTCGTTCCTCCCAGTCCCTTTTAGGCTGGAAGCCCTGCTGAAGCCTGTTCAGCATCTTAGCAACATGCAAACTTCTATTGACAGGGGGCTCAACTTCCATTGAATGGAGGCTAGAAATTGAACCTGGGGTTTTCCACATGGAAGGAGAGAAAAATATATGAACCTTAAGAGCCACATAAGAAGCTCCTTTATATCCAGTCAGACCAAGCACAACTGGGAGGACAATTCTCTAGAAGTGACATTGATTACATTTCAGTTATGCGATTCTCCCCACCCTCATTTTCTGAGCTGTTCTTTGCCCATCAAAATGAAGCCATTGCTCAAAACAACAATGAGATATCATCTCATCTCAGCAACAATAGCAAAGTTCAACAGGCCAGCAAACTACAAATATTGGTGAGGTTGTGGAAAGATTGGAACTTTTATTCATTGCTAGTGGGAGTGTAAAATGGTGCAACCGCTATGGGAGGTAGTCTGGTACTTTCTCAAAAAGTTGCAAATAGAAATACCATTTCACCCAGCTGTTCTACTACTTGGAATATACCCGAAAAAAATCAGAATCGCCGTCCAAACATATATGCACACCCATGTTTATTGCTACATTATTCACAATAGCAAAGAGATGGAAGCAACCCAAGTGCCCATCAAAAAATGGATTAATAGAAAAACTATAGTACATTCACACAATGGAATATTATGCAGCATCTGAAAACAATGAACTCGTAAAACATTACACAACATGGGTGACCCTGGAGGACATTATAGTGAGTGAAATATCTCAGTTACAAAAGGACAAATACAGCATAACACTATTGTTATAAAATAGGACTGACAGGGGAGATTGAGGGAGAATAGGAAAAGAATATATGGATAATGAACACTGCATTGGAACAGTTGAGAGGAGGACCTATCTATCTGAAAGGAATATATGATTAGACATTATATGTATGAAAGCAATCTGGAAGAAGAGGTACAGTACACAGTGGATTGGAGGAGGGGAAAAGAAAGGGGAGGGAGGAAAATGTACAACAATGGATGAATAAAAAAATAAAAATAAATAAAATAGACTCATTGCCACTAATGAGATTGGCTCAGGATAGGGCCTGACAGCAACTAACAACAACATTGCCACTAAATTTCCTAACATTTATTTTTTTTTCCTAACATTTCTTTTTAGTGAAAGCAAAGAAAGAGGTTTAGTAAGAAAAATACTTTGCAAAGGGACACATAAAGGGTCAAAGCACCTCTAGCTGTGACATACACCCCCCATCTAACCTTTTTAATTATTTGTTGTTTATTTGATCTCCATAGAGATATCTTTTTAAAAAATTTTATTT